ACTAAATTTCGTTCCTGTAAAACTACAAAGTAGTCAGCATATTTGTCTCGTATTGCTGCAGCTCCTCTTCCGTGATTATTACTCCCCATATTTCTAGAAATATCCATCAAACCCAATGTAATAGAACCTATTCCAGATTTTCTGTATCGACTATTCCATTGATGTATTTTATTATACGGAGCCAATTTTGTAATGCGCATGCAGCTCTAATAATAGAATCAATTTTGTTCAAAGATAGGTCTCTGAAATATCCTGTATCTCAAAACAAGTATTTCAAACGCAAATCAATACGTCAATAGTTGAAAATTGTGTGAAACAACTAAAGAAACGAAAAAACGGTATTAATATAGCACAGAACTTTGAAACCTCATTGAAAAATATGATGGCTTTGAACGAAAATACAATCGATAGATACACGAAAAAGTAATAGGTTTTATGTATTTAAAACGTTACACAAAATCCCTCACTAATTTTGTATTACTTTATAAAACCGCAGTACGTTCAAAACAACCGACTCAGCGATGACTCTGATTTGAAACTGCAAATTTCTATGTCTGATTAGTAAAATAAGTTAAAAGAAACAGTTACTGCAATTCAATTCTTTGACCATTTGGAAGATTTAATTGTGTGACTAAGGAAAAATAAAACGATATGAATATGGAAAATATGATGGCTTATAATGACTTTTAAGCTACAGGAAATAATCATGAAAATAGGATAATGAAAATGTTATGAAGTATAATCATGTAAACGAAAAAAATACTTTATAAAACCGCAGTATGTATGAAATGAACAAACATCTTATTTTGTAGTGAATTACAAAAGTGAAGAAATACGTTTTTAATTTTTACTTATTTAATTTTAACTTATATTGTATTAGTTTATTATTAGTAGTACATATTTATTTATTACAGTTATTAGTGTAGTAATATTATGTTAAATGTGTATGTGTTTGAAGTTAGCCCTAAACGAGCCAGTAATATTTCATAACCGAAAGTATTTTAGATTCTAGGTCATTTTTTTGGAAAACATTGATACCTAAATGTCATTTTTGCCAGTTTTGCATATATGAGGTTCTTTCGGCCCAAATACCCAATAAAAAAAAATAAATATAAATTTTGTTTTTTATTTATGTGTTGTAATTATTACAAAATGCTATTAAATAGTCAATAATCCATAAGAATTAACTAGTATAATATTATTTTGATTAATTTGCATTTTCAGTTATATGAACTTGATACCAAGGTGTTTGAAGAGCTGATGAAACCGATATGGATCATTAAAGAAAAGTTTAAAAAATATAAACGTATAATTAATATACATACAAAATAACTAAATCAACATTTTGTTTTAGTTTTGAAAAGTTGTTAATTTTATCACTAACATATACCTACAAAAGTACATGAATAATTAACATATATATTATATTATTATTATTGTTATAACATTATTATTAAAATCTAATATTAAAATCTACTATTATAATTATTGTTATTTATTATGTTAATCTCTATTGCCGTTGGCGAATCCTCGTGGGTGGCGATGTAAAACCCCTTATATTTGATTAAAATACAAGTATTTTTCTACAAATTCTTATCACAATATTTTTTTAATCGTTTTCACCTCTGCTTATTAAGGAATTATGTACAAGTAATTTTTCACAAAATCTTTGCTAAAATCAAAATGTGTAAAATCAAAACCCGACCGGACCAATAGAGAAAAGTTTAAAAAATTACATAAAATCTAAAGGACTTCACGTTTTTTTTTTATTTAATACTTGTGTGATCAAGAAAAAACAAAACGATATTAACAAGGCACAGAACAGCAAAAACTCATTGAATATTCATTTATTTACTATTTATTTGACACAGCTATTACCGTCCCATTTCGGATGAACTATCAGAAAACTGAGAATAAATCAGAGAAATGTGCTGTCAACCTAACATAAAGGTCGATGTAGATATTTTGGGTAAAAAAAACAATAATTTTTCAATAGAGACAACCGTCTTAGGAACAAATTTGTAGTAGAATTTATTTAGTAAAAAATAATTTAGGAGAAGAAAACGGTGTAATCTCATTTAGTATTAAGCAAAATGTGTTCTTTACATAATTAAACAATTTAATACTTATGTATTTTAATAGAAATGCATGTAAATGAAATCGAAGAAAATTGGCCCTTTGACGTGCCGACTTCTTCAATTAATGAAAGGTATCAACAAAGGAAATGGTTTTAATAGATACAATAATACTTATAACATTTTAAAATAAGCGAAAGTTGAACTGTTGACCGTATACATTTTTTCAATATAAACTACATAAACAACTGAGAAATAACCATCATTATGGATTTTCTACTTAATGTATATTGCAAAATAATATTATGTAAACTTTTAAAATATATCTCTTGAAATATCAAAATCATAATAATCAGAATGAAGCATAATTTTATCGATTTGTAAATTGAATAACAAATTATTTTAGACAAACAAACACCAACCAGCTGTTATAGCTGTTTTAGTGCTAACTGCTAAGTGTCTTGCCTATAGGTGTTATACATTAAAAGTAAGTAATACGAATATTTGTTGGCACAAATTATCATGTTTGCAACTACTAAATTATACTAGCTGGGTTGTATTAATTAATAATTATATTGAGTGATGTAGTTTTATACAGAAAATCTAACCTTAGTATATGAGAATGATTGCCAAAATTGTCATAATCTACTCTACTGGTTGACTGCTGTCGACTACATCTTCGATATGTGAACATCTAAATAATGATAAACATAAATTTAGCAAATAAAAATATTTAAAAGTAAAGTGTTTTTTTTTTATAAAAAAAAATTCAACTTCCATAACTAATTGCATTTTTTTGCAAATTAAACGATTTATTTGTTTCAATAACAATTAAATAACAAACATAGTTTATCTCCATAGAGACAATACAATTTTTGGTCTATAAAAAAATTAAAACACTATTTGATAAAATAAAATAAATACTTTTTGAACAATATAAACGAAACCGGGAAAGAGTATATAAAATTAAATAAATCGTTACCAATAACACGGTACTTAGTCCATAAATAATTTATCTACTCCAGGTTATAAACTAATTTTATAAATTACAATAATAATGTACAGGGTGATCTATTTGTACAAACTTTTAGAATGATCTCAAACGCAAAATGTTTTTTGCATTCCTCTCAGCAACAATAAGATTATTCTTAAAGTTTATAAAGAAAGAGAGAAATCACCCTGTATAATAATAATAAAAAGTAAAAAGTCGTACAATCGCTGATGTGTTTGACTTACAAGAACAAGTTATAAGTAAAACAAGATAACATTACGATCCAGAAAATACACAAACTTTTCTAAATAATTGTAAACGATACAATAAAAATTTAAGAATTATAATTGATGTAGTAACGACTAGAATTGAAATAATTAATAATTGTATCAAAAAAACATAGCCATACCTCAAAGTGCGCGGTCTTCTAAATTTCTGTAAGCGATTGATGAAAGCCACATCTTAATCGAGTTTAAAAAATTATGTTAAATGTAAAAAAATAATATAAGAAGTACAAATCGTTTTCGCCAAACATTTCTAAGCGAGCAAAATAAAATAAGTACTCAATAAGTATCTTAGCGACCGATGCTTAGAAATTCGTTAGAAATATGCGTTTTACACGGATGTTACTACAGAGATATTTTTTTTCATGATATATTTCATGGAAAAAATAGTTATGGTGAGATTGTAAATTTAAAAATGTTTGTTTTATCGACACGTTTAAATTGCTTTAAACAAATTTTAAAAATCAAACCGGATGTCTAAAAATGATTGGAGAAATTATATAGAAATTAATAATTGGCGTTCTAACTTTTGATTTCCATCGTTCTGATCATTTACTATGACTTTGCAAAGATATTACAATTACAAATTAAAACCTTATATTCCATTTTGGAAAAACCAGTCCAAACTTATCTTACACGTGGGGCATAAAATGTATTTATCTTCGATGTGAATTGTAGCACTTGTTTAGTTGTGTACATAACATTATATTATGAGACTTGTTACCAGTTGTAGTCTTAGACTTATATTTAAACTCTAATATGGGTTAGCACGTTGAACACATAAAAACGATGTGTTTTTTAAACAAATGTTTTGCGCTAAAATTATTTACACATATGTATTCTCAATAGCTAGCGATGAACAATCTATATCACGCATCTGTAGTATTGTTTTTTTTTATCAGAGATACCTATAAAGTCAAGCCACACTATATTAAAAAATAAATTATTGAAAATAAAGTGATTCATACCTAATTCTCCCCGTGCCTAATATGCTTCACCGCCACTACACTGGCATTTGTTTCAATATTTTAAGCACACGGTTTTTGTAAAATCAATAACTGGTTAATAAAATGTATTATTTGAATAATATTGTAAACTTGTTAGTCATAACAAAAAATGTCTAATGTTGCCGGTGCAAGTAAATTTGCATAAACAATTCTACAAAATATATTTACATTGTATTGTTTCGGTCGACATAATATAGGTCATTCAAAAAGTCTTAAGCAAACCATTGAAACAGCCGGGTTATCTATCATTGCAAATTGTTTAAATAAGTAATACTATCAAAACTGGAAAAACGATATCCACTATATCCTTAGATATCCACTAGTCTTATTTTCATTATACATCAAGGCCAATAGTAAGTAACACTATCACACTTCAAAAGTTGTAAGTACACTGTAAAACAGAGATGGATGAATTTTTTATACATTTATCTACAAATAATATACCAAATATAACATTATATTTTATATGCGGTATATCAATTATATAAGTCCGTGTGTCTTTATATACATTGTATACTGTTAAATACCGTTTTGTAATTTAAAAAAAAAATAATGCCACATAGTTATTATTTCACACGATGTATCTCGACCAAACCGGAAGCGCTTGAATTGCATTTATGATTGTTATTTTTTTCAGGTAAAAATGAAAATTTTCTGTATTTTAATATCATTTATCTGTGTAAATGTATTTGCAGACATACGTAAGCCTTTTATTTTCATATTAACTCACACAAGATAGTTTAAAATCTAAAACGAAATGTAAGATTTAACTTTTCATTACAGAAGAATATATAGATATAGTTGAAATGACAAGTAAGTGATATCCTTTTATCATACTGACAATCTTTGTGAGTTTTTTAATTTTAATATTTTTTTTTACATATTTTTTAAAAAAACGTTTACAACAGACTCGCAAATCAAGATTGCTTCAGACTATAAAGATGATTTAAAAGGAAGTAAGATATATACATATTTATGTACATCACATATATAAATAGATAAATGTATAATAATTAGTATACTAATATACTTTTCTTTTGTGATGTTTACCTAATTTTCAAATGAATTATAAGTCAAAAATATAATATATATACGTGAAAGCACGAGTTAAAATATAATAACAGTGTGACAAATACTGTGTACATATTAAAGTAATGAAAAATAATTAGTTTATATTGTAAAGAGGCACATGCGTTTTTACGGTATAAAACCATGAGTTGGCTTTCATGATACAGCGCTTCCAAAAATTGGCTCACAGAAAAGTTACCTACATCATCTGAAAGTTAAAAACTTTATCTGTGTGGTTAAGATTTCTAAAAAAAATTGCCTTAACCCAATCCTTAATAAATAGGGGCGGATTCGCATCCTCTTAAAGTGGTAGTTTTATATTTTAGATTGCGTCTGTGAACACACTTGATTCTAGGAATTGACTATTTTCCCTCGGCAGGAAGAGTATTTTTTTTTAATAATTTGTAAATGTATTCTGATTAATATATCTTAGAAATTTTCTATAGGTCAAACCGTTATTTGTTTGTTTCAGATAAATTGGTGCATGTAATTACGGTCATTTTACACGCAAATAAACATCCATTGTGTAATTATAATTATATAATTATAAACAAATAAAAAAATCTTGGTGATAGAAGAACTTTTTTAAAAAAAACTACAAAAATTCACCCTTAACCGTTTCATTACCATGGTTAATGAAAATGTTATGTAGTATTTTCATTGGATTTCATAATATTTAATTTAATAGAGCTAAGCATTTTGTTTCCAATTACTAATATATATATTATTTTTCCTTACATTTCTACTCTAGTAGTTTATGTTTGAATAACATATTTTAATTCAATACCATTAATTTATATATGGCTAATTTCAGTTTTTATGAATTTGATGTTTACTGTGCCGGGTAATCATTTTTATGGCAATTTTTGGAAATATTTCCACACAGTCGTTTGATAATAATTAATTATACAGTTTTCGCTTTAATTTCAGAACAAGGAATAACTTACCACTTTGACTATCTAAACGGTAATCTATAAAATATCACCTTTATCTATATATTTCAAACTTTTATATTTATAATACTTTACACAGCTTTAAAATATATACAATATTTGTTTCTATTAAAAAAAAAAATAAGTACATTTAAGTTTGTTTTATTTTAGAATCAATACCGACACAAGAATTTTTGCAAAAACAAATATCTGATTCAATAGGTAAGTGTTCAATTTTTTGGAGACCAATTTTCAAAATTGATAATTACTCGATTACAGTGTAAAGAAAGCAATCATTCAAACGTCGCAATATAATAGTTTTATGTTAATAATTTATTTTGATTTGATTAATTGGTCAAATTAATATGAATTTTAGAGTGACTCTTATGGATGAATAAAACAACCTGGTTTGAATAGCTGTTTAATTATTTTTTATTTTTGTTACAGATATTCCTGCTGATACAACCAATAGTAATTACAAAGTTATTCATTAAATAGAACTTACTGCTCGTTTGAACGATGAAATAGTCTTTGTAGATTTTTCAAGTTACACAGTAATTAAAATAAAGTAAAATTTGGTTGAGGACACTTAAAAACATAATATTGACGTATATAAATGTTAAAACATTTCACCACAAAATCAAATCATAAACACGACAGTAATTTGTTGTTTTGGCGTCTTAAGTTAACTTGAAAAAGTATACTTGTGACTCGAAAAACGACATGCCATACTAGTACTGGCAGTTTATATCATATCAACAATTTGGAATTGGATTCCCAACTGGGCTTGGATCACATCTTACCTCGCAGATAGAAGACAACGCACTAAAGGGCATAGAGGTGTTTCTGATCATTCTACTGTCTTATTAGGCATCACGCAGAGGGTTCCTTATCCTCGTTTTAGTTGGAGTTTGCAAACACACAAAGTTCCTTCGAAACATCTTCTTTATTATTACCTTTCCTACGAACTATTACCAGATACAAACTGAGCTTAATTTATTTCTTGACGGGCCTCATCTCCTTGATCTGCCATTGATTATTGATAAATGTTGTATTGTACATCGTTGTCCGTACTTTCCTTAACAATATCACTTCGGTTGATCGTTGAACTAACGCTGAACTGAATTTTATTTTACACTTCTTCTAGGCCCCTGAAATTCTTTTACCACATCTTGTCGCACGTTCCTTCCCACTATTTTTTGTACTCATTCCCTGTTCCAAGTTCTTACTCGCACCACATCATTTGACCGCAACCATCCTATTCATAGAATGTTGCACAGTGCCCAAGTTTCTTGTATAGATTTTTTAATCAAGTTTGGTCTGGAAAATCGCTTGGTTAGTTCTACTCAATTGTTGATTGTCTTAATTTTATATTCTCAGCTCTAGCCATTTTCATTGTAATATTTTTATCTATGTACTAATGTTACATGTTACAGTGTGTGTTATCTATCATTGCATAATATTGCTTATTATACTGCATTATTGACCCGGTTAAATATTAAAAATAATGCAGGTAAAGAAATGATAACAATTACCAAACGTGAAAAGGCGAGAAGACATTTTACTGGAAAAGCTTTGAAAAATGTAGTTAACCAAATATTAGGTGAATATAAATATAGTTTTAACGGTATTGCTTTTTTAATTAAATTTATTTTTTACAAGGTTATTTATTGTAGGTAACACAATCAATTTATTTTTAACTAATTGATAATTTGTAGTTTTTCTTCTTTGGGACGCAGTTTAACTTTTGTTATTTTTTTAATATTGAACAATATATACATTTTTTTCTAGATTAGGTGGATTATATCGGCTTTATATTAATACAATTTTTGGCATTGATTAATTGGAACTGTTATGGATCAATATATCAACCAAGTTTGATTAACTATAAAATGTTTTTAATTTTTTGCAGATCATTCTGAGCGTCATGAAATATACCAAAGAAATTACAAAGCTAGTCGTTAGTAGTAAATATAAGTTATGGCTTGTTTAAAAGTTACAATTTGTTTTACATTTTCCATTGTTCACACAACAATTACAATGAATTAAAATTTAGTTTTTATTTTTTCACCCCCTCTAGGCTCCGTCAATACGGATGTTATATTTTTACTATATCTTTTCACATTACTTTCCACTTATTTTGTACTCATTTGGGCGTTAAATTTCAAATTAAAACGAATATTTTTACAAATATTTAAATGTTTTCAACTCAGTTACACATACATACGTTTATACAGGCAAAGAAATTGTGAAATTGAACGAACTTGGAAAGGCGAGAAGACGTCTTACTGGAGAAGCTATAAAAAAAGTACTTACCCAAAAATTAGGTAAATATAAATAGCAAAATTTAATGGTATTGCTTTTTATATTTAAAAAGCTCTAACTCTGTTTGAATTTTACACATTTATTGTCAATTAGTTTATTAAATTATTGTCTAAAAAAAATATTAAAAACTTTTTCAATCTTTGGTCCACATGTTAAAAAAAACTACTTTTTAGATTTTAAATTTATTTTTAATTGTGTCCTGCAAATTATAGAAAAAAAGTAGCTTAGAAACTAAACTTGGCAATAATTTTTAATAAGCATTTTCTGTTTTTTTTTAGCTGAAAAGTTCTCGACTGACAAGATGTATGTTCAGAGAATTTGCACTTTGATAGGAATGTGGATTAGTGTAAAAACGTCTTTACTAACGTCGTACATTATAGAATCTGACGCTTGTGTAATAGATTACGATGTCGGTCGTTCTGTAAAATACAGGCCATTGAAGGGCAAATGGTGTCAAGTAAAACTCTTTTACAAAGACGAAAAAATAGAAGATTTAAAAGTACAACTACTCAAGGATCATTTTCTAATTGAGGAACAGAACCGGCTTAACAATTTAGACTAGTAATCAATTGTATATTTCTATGCAATTATAAGTAAACAAATAAACAATTTTTGCATATTGCACTAACATTGGAAAATAAATGTCAATTACAATAATGTTTTTATCGAGAATAAACGGTTTTTTTCACCATCATAAACACATTTGTTGCTTAAGAAGTATTATTATTATTGCGTATCTATAGCTATGGTTTGATTTTGACAGGAAGTAGGTTTTATGATTTAGATAGGTTACAAAATTCAATTGTATAAGAACTACTATTGTATTTGTTGTACACTTTTTTATAGTTTTTATAATTCATTAATATTTTCATGTTGTTTTAAGTTAACCACGAAGGAAAATATATTTATTCATTTTTTTAGATGGTTTAACAAAATTTCATACTATTAAATGAAAATAATAAAAATTTTAATTAATGGTAAGTTTGAAAAAAATAAATTATTTTTTCAACATTATTCTCCAGCATTGTGGGATGAATAACGAAATAACGGTTAAAATTCAAACTACAATTATTTTTTATACAGGTAGATACCACAAGAATATGACTTGTAAAAATATTACATTTCCAAATTAAAACCATATGTTCCATTTTGGAAAAACCGAGTTCAAACTTACGTTAACTAAAAAGCTTCAATATAAATTGTAGCACTTGTTAAGCTGTAAACATAATATTATAATATAAGATTTTTGCTACCGCCACAGTCTAAAATTTATATTTTAACTCTTATATGGGCTAGAACGTTAGAACACATACAAACGATGTGTTTTTTAAGCAAGTGTTTTGCGCTGTAATTATATATATATATATAGTTCACACTGTAGGTATTAGTGCTTGTTGTTTTGTTATTCACATAAAAACATGTTGATGCACAATAAGCTTACATATAATATGTAAAATTATATTTACATTGTATTGTTTCGTTCGACATAAAATAGGTCATTCGACAAGTCGCAAGAAAATCATCGAAGCAGCCGGTGTAACTATCATTGCAATCGTTTGAGTAAGTAAAACTTTCCAACCTTAAAAACGATAAACTCGTTCACTTTCAATATGTTTTACTAATTTTCAATTATTTTCCCCCATCTAGACCTTCGATAACATTTTTTTCCACTGGTTCTTTTGCAATACACAACCCATAAGTAAGTAATACTATCAACATCAAACTATCAAAGTATTGAGTACGCTTTCAAACAGATACAGATCAATTTTAGATACATTTATACGAATAATATTCCAAATATAAAATTATATTTGAAGTTTAAAATTATATTTTATATTTGGTATATGAAACATATAAGTCCATGTTTTTTTGCACAATGTTTTTAATTAAATGGATTATTAGACCAAATACCGTTTTTTTTTTAAATTAAATCCTGTAGGGAGAGCTAGATTATTAAAATTTGGATTTGAGGATATTTATGTATAGGAACATGCCTGATGTTGTACGCTATGTTATAGAACGTTAACTTTGAAAGTCCAAAAAACCGAGAACTTTTCTTTGGTTATTCTCGGTTCTGGCGTTGAAGAAGTTGACTTTTTCTACTTTTGACCCACCAAAGTCACCTAAACACATATAATTTCGGTTAACTCAAGTAAATTGGGCCATAGAAATAATGTATGGTGTTGTGGATACAAAAAAAAACCAAATCATAGGAACACCTTTACAGTTACTCATCGAAGCTAAAAAACAGCTTTGTAAATAAACCAGCAAAGTTACGCTGCAAACTATGTATTTATTTTACTGTTTTGCTGAAATATGTTTTTTACAAAAAAATGTTATAAGCGTGTTTATTATGTAAAATTGTATTTTTGATTTTGTATTATTATAATACACCTCGAGTTCAAGTTGTTTCTTGTCTTTTATTTTTACATAAATATTATTTTTAATAAGTTAACCGTAATATCAAAACACTTTACCTTTTTGTTAGTTAGTAGGTGTTGGTATTAGTATTTTTTTTTTTTTTAAATCAAGTTTAAAACTTTATCTTCAGGCCAACGCTGCCTGTCACGTGCCTCTCTATCGTTGTCATTCTCCTATATCTCCCACCTACATCGTGTCATCTGTGGTTCATAAATCCTTAAGTACTGTACCTAGCCGTCTTTGTCTTGGATCTCTATGATGTCTTTTCCTATTTCATTTTTGTATAGTATTTCCTTCATTTCACTTCCTTCTGCTCTCCAGACATGCCCAAGTCTGTATCCGAGAGACCTAAGACTGAATCCGTTTACTTTTCATATTTGGATGTTTAAATAGATTCCTTAAATCTTCGTTGTGTCTAATTTCGTATTGTTGTGTGGAAGTATTGTAGTATGGGTCATATATTCTTCTTAACACTTTCTTTGAAATGTTATAAGTTTCGTGTCATCTCCTTTGGTCGTAGCCCATACCTAACACCCATAAGTTAAGATGGGCGTTTTTGATTCTTTGTTGTATCTCTCAGTGCATGCCATTTTTACTGTTGTGTCCCAAGATATTTGAAGCTATTCACGCGTTCAAATGTGTATTGACTAATTTTAATACTATTGTTATTATTAGTATTATTAATTTTACAACTTAGAAAGTTTTTCTCTCAAGCAACTTTTATGTATTTAGTTTTTCCTCACTGACAATTATTAGTCACATCATCTCCCCAGCTTGGATTAATTTTTTAGTAGTCTCAGTTACATCTTTAAAATATCTACAAGGATCGCTGCTATATGATCTGCGAAAGCGAGTATAGGGCTTCTATTTAATCCATGAATCTAGTTTCTTCCATTATCATTTAGCTATCTAGCACACTATGTATAACGTTAGCGAGGGTCTAATAAAATACATCCTGTAGTGCTATTCCTCTATAATTGTTCGTTTTTCATGGATCTCCTTTTTTGTAAATTGGGCAGATGATGCCTACATTCCATTCTTCAGGAATTGTTTCATTTGTCCAAATTTGTCCAATCAACTGCTGCTTATTAGCGCAGGAATGATATGTAATATCAAAACACTTCAACTTCTAGTCTTATATAAATTGCAATTATGTTTATTTTTTGCAGATTAAAATGAAAATTTCCTGCATTTTATTATCATTTATCTGTGTAAATGTATTTGCAGGTATACGTAAGTATTTTATTTTCATATTTATCCACACAAGATCGTTAAAAAAAATTGTAAAATGTAATAATTATCTTTTCTTTACAGAAGAATATATACAAGTGGTTGAGATTACAAGTCAGTAATATTTTTTTATCATACAGACTAATTTTGTGAGTTTTTAGTTTTACTTTTACTATAAATATGTTTTAAAAAAATGTACAACAGACACGCAAATCAAGGAAGCTTCTGACTTTAAAGATGATTTTATAAAAAGTAAGATTTAATATATTATATACACATATATAAATAGATACATTTATAATAAATAATATTATACTAATTTATTTTTGTTTTGTACTGTTTGCCTAAGTTTCAAATGACTTATAAATCAAAATAATAGTTTATATAGATGATTTCACGAGTTATAATATAGTACCAATGTGCTAAACGTTGTGTAAAATAAAGTTTCCTATACTACCTGAAAGTTAAACAATTTTACCAGTGTGATCAAGTTAAGATCTTCTGAACAAAGTTACTTACACACAACTCCTCAGTAAATGGATGAATTCATCTCCTCTTAATTATTTTCCTCGACAAGGAGAGTAATATTTTCTAATGATTTTTAAATGTGTTTTGATTAGAAATGTTAGATATTTTCTATAAGTCAAACTTTTATTTGTTTGCAGATGGATTGGAGCATGTATTTACAGCCATTTTGGATGAAAACAAATATTCAATGAGTAATTATAATTATATGATAAGAAAAGAATAAAAAAGATAATAGAAGAAATGTATACAAAAAACGTCGAAAATTCAACCTTAACCCTTTTAATGCTACTGTGTTTTACACACTGCGACACACAGGATTTAATAACACGTCCTAGGCAGTGAAAGGGTTAAGGAAAATGTTCAGTGATATAAATCTTATTCTACTTATATGATGCCCATAATATGATTTAGTTCAGCCACTGTATTTTCATTGGGTTTTAAACTTATTCAATTTATCAGAGCTAAACGTTATTTTCCCAATTACTAATACACATATTATTGTTCTTACTTTTTCTACTCTGGTTTATGTTTGAATTAATGTATGCATGTATGTATTGAATTTATGTATGTATTGCTAATTTCAGCGTATTTGTGTTGGATGTTCACTGTGCCGGGTAATAAATTTAATCGCAATTTTTGGAAATATTTTCACACAGTCGTTCGATAATCATTAATTATACTAAATTTTCGCTTTAATTTCAGAACGTGCAGTAATTCGCCACTCTGTAATAACACCATGTAATCAAGTATTACCTTTACCTATTAATTTCATATTTCATAATTACAATGCTTCACACAGACTTATAATACGTACAATATTTGCTTATATTACAAGAAATATGTACATTTAAGTTTATTTTAATCTAAATTTTAGATTCCATGGCTATACAAGTACAATTGCAAGAACACATACTCGCGTCAACGGGTAAATATAACATTTTCATTTATTTTAGCAAACAATATTCAAAATTGATAATTACTTAAATAAATAGAAGTTACATTTTATGAATATGATAAAAACCATTTTCAAAATTATTCATAAACACAAATGGCCAAAATAATTCAGGCTAATAACACCTTTAGACGAGATTGTGAACAAAATACAAAAAGATCAGCTTGTTACATTTCCCAGGAATTTCAAACAAATACAGAGTACAGTTAAGTTCATCAAGAAATAATAGTTCACAAGAACTTTTGGTAAATACAAAGGACAAAATGAAGGCACAGAAAAAATCAGATTACAATAAAATGCATTGTAAAGAAAGCATTCATTCAAACGTTGCTATAGAAAAATTTCATGTTAATACTATAATATTTTGTTTTAATTAATTGGTCAAATTAACAAGCTTTTTAGCGTGACTATTATGGATAAATAAAACAACCTGGTTTGACTAGCTGTATAATTATTTTTTATTTGGTTACAGGTATCTCTGTGCCTGCTAATACATCCAATAGTAATTACAAAGTTATTTATTAAATAGAGCTTACACCTCGTTTGAACGATAAAATTTTTTTTGTATATTTTTCAAGTTACACGGTAATTATAATAAATTAAAATTTAGTTGAGGACACTTAATAACATAACATTGGCGTATATAAATTTCATAACATTCCACCACAAAATCAAATCATAAACACGACAGTAATTTTTTGTTAAGACGTCTTATGTTAACGAACTGTTGCCTCCTACAAACTGAGCTTAATTTATTTCTTGACGGGTCACATCTCCTTGATTTGTAACTGATTATTGATAAATGTTGTATTGTGCATGTTGCCCGGACTTAACTGGTTCGATAATAGTAGCTGTATAATTATTTTTTACTTTTGTTACAGGTATTCCTATGCCTGCTGAAACAGCAAATAGTAATTACAAAGTTAATGATTAGTAATATATTATAGAACTTAAGCTTGATATACATTTTTTTTTGTTTGCACAATAGTTACAATGTCTCAATAGTGCCAAAGTTTCTTGTATAGATTTTTTAATCAATTTTGGTATGAACAATCGCATGGTTAGTTTTCAATTCGATTGTTGAGTGCCTTAATTTTATATTCTTAGCCTTAGCCATTATATTGTAATTTTCTATTTTCTATTAATTTTACATATTACAATGTGTTTTCTATAATTGTATCATACTGCTTTTTATACTGTATATTGTACTTTGTATGTGATATTTATGTAAATTGGTGAAATAAAATATGCATATTAGGGCTTTACATTAGAAATCAAAAATTAAATACAGATACATTAATAAATATTATATTATTAACCCGGTTATATTTACATCTATCTAGGTAAAGAAGGGTTGAAATTGGCCAAACGTGAAAAGGCGAAAAGACATTATACTAGAAAAGCTTTGAAAAATGTAGTTAACCAAATATTAGGTGAATATAAATATAGTTTTAATGGTAATGCTTTTTTAAAAACATACATTTTTTACAGGGTGATTCATTAAAGATAACACAATCAATTTATTTTTAACTAATTGATAATTTTTGGTTTTAATTTTTGAGGACACAGTTTAATTTTTAAATTTATCGGTTTAAATTAATAATATATTTGACATTGGTAGTTGTTATTGATAGATATATTTAATTAACTATATAATGTTTTTATATTTTTGTCGCAGAACATAATAAGCGTTATGATTTATACGAAAATGATTACAAAACAACTTAGTTGTAAATAGAACTTATGGCTCGTTTAAAATATAAAATTTGCTTTACATATTCTTTTGTTCACACAATATTTAATATTAAGAAAACTTATTATTTTTATTTTTAACTCCTTATAGGCTCCATCAATGATATCATTGACAAAATGATATTATATTTATAAATATTGTAATGGTTTCAACTCAATTATACACAAATACATTTATGCAGGTAAAGAAATTAAGAAATTGAATGAACTTGGAAAAGAGAGAAGACGCCATACTGGAGAAATTATAAGAAATGCACTTACCAATAAATTAGGTGAATAAAAATTTAAAATTTTAATGGTATTACTTTTTATAATTGAAAATCTGTGGTTTTTTTTTTTTGAGACACTAATTTTTTTTTTTCATCACTACACAACATATTTTTTGTCATTTTTTTCTAGAACCCTAGCAACAAGAATAGTTTGGTTAAAGTGTTGACTGGTCGATAACTAGTTTTGAATAATTTGTCTTATTGTAAATTTACTGAAGTTTAAAATTTAGGATGAGAAATGGAATTTTGTAGATTATAATAGCACTTCACCCATTCACCCGTTTTGTTAATAAATTTGAAATCCAGTCAAAATTATCTTAAAATGGAAAGTTATCTTATTTTTACACACATTCATTTTAATTATATTGATTACTGTGGTTATTTTATTTTATTTTTCTTAGCGTGTTTATGGAGAACACGGTTTGAAATTTACATATTTAATGTACAATTTTTCAGCTTTCTAAAAAAAGTATTAAAAATATTCTCAAACTATGGCATGCAACATTTTAGATTATAAATTCATTTTAAATGACTTTGCGTTATTCGAAAAAAATCATAATTTTTTTAGAATGCTGAGATAATTTTGCATAATTAACTGATTATAAAAAATTGTTTGATGATTTCATAAAAAAAAAACGATTAAAAACAAAAGCAAAGATAAAATGACTATTTTATACGACCATAGCAGTATTTAAATTGATAAGAAAAATCAAAAAATTTGAGCTCGTAACAGTCATACAGTGTAAGTTTCAAAAAGATTCACGCTGGGTGGGGGGGGGGGTTAGTGCGCCAAACGTTAGTTCTTATTTAACGTTTTGACATATTAAATATAATTGTATTACTTGTCTTATTTAAGTTTGGTAATTGTGTCTTGGGAAATAGTGCCCAGTAATTTAAATTTGGCAATTTTCAACAACTATTCTGTTTTTTTAGCTGAAAACCCAACGAATGACAAGACGGATGTACAGAGAATTTGTGATTTGATTGCAATGTGGATTAGTGTAAAAACGTCTTCAATAACGTATAATCGTATGAACTCTGATGTTTGTGTAATATATGATGAAGCCTTTGAGTATTATAAATACAAACCATCTAGCGGCAAATATGTTGAAGTATTCATCACTGACCATAATGTTATAGTAGGAGAACTAAATGAACAACTCAAGGCTCCACTATTTGAAGAAACAAACAGCGATGACGATTTAGACTAGTAGTCAAATGTATATATTTCTTTAAAATTATAAATAAACAAATAAATCATTTTTTTCATATTGCACTAACATCCGAATAATAATTGTCAATTAATGTAATTGTTTTTTTTCTCTAAAATAAACCGTTTTGCTCACCGTTATAAACACATTTGTTGCTTAAGAATTATTATTATTATTATTTTTCCGTGCCTTTGGTTTGATTTTGACCGGAGGTATGTTTTATGGCTTAGTTGGTTCCCAATGAAGAGGAGGATGGTAGACTTTTTCTGGACTGTTTATTGCCCAAAGAAA